GTGGATCACGAGGTCAAGAGTTTGAGAGCAGCCTGGACAACATGGTAAAACTCATCTCTACTAAAGATACAAAAAATAAGCTGGGCGTGGTGGCGTGTGCCTGTAATTCCAGCTACTCGAGAGGCTGAGGCAGGAGAATCGTTTGAACCCAGGAGGCGGAGGCTGCAGTAAGCCAAGATCACACAACTGCATTCCACCCTGGGTGACAGGGCGATATTCCGGCTCAATCCATCAATCAATAAATGCATGGCCCTTGATAACCTAAACTGACCTACCTTGTACCTTCCAGGTCATTCCATTCAGTACATCCCACAGTAAAAGAACAAGAATCAGACAGAAATGTGAAAGCTAAAATGAACCAACAACAATATATGGCTAGCTCCATCAAAGGAGAAATAGTATCTACTATTTGCTATCTCAGAAAATGCAGCTGAAACCTAACAGAAATACCAGAGCCTAGCAAATCAAGAGGTCATTCAGGTTGGTGGGTGATGACCACATTTTATAGAAATTAAAAAGATCACTAGCGCTTATGAAGAAAGAATACAAAGCCAAAACCACTTTATCCAATATTTATTAATCCAATTCACAAATATTTATTTATTTAACTCATCATATGTTGCCAGGTCGAGTTCTAACCCTGCTAAGCAGTAAAGAAAAGAAACAGTCCCTGCTTTCGTGGACCTTTCAAGCTAATGAGGACATCTGTCGACCACCTATTTGTTAGTCAGGCATTTATTCTGGTTTAGCCAAACTCTCAGGGCTCCAATACTACCCTGAACTTACACAAGCAAAGCCTAACAATGGAATCCCTTTTTTATCTTAAGTACTCAGAAAGAGCCACAAGAAGCATTTTCCTAGGAAAAGTGCCTAAACTAATGTTCTCTGGCCTTAAAGGGTACCAGTTGAGCCTGGAAACCTGACAGAAACAGATGCAAACATGTCTCTGGCCTGATGCTCTGTTTGTAGGAAACCCAACATATCCTGCATTGCTCTGGATTCACAGTACACAGGAATCAAGTAAAAAAAAAAAAATGACCACTACCCTATACTTTTTAACTGTAATACCTCAGAAACTAGACCATATGAGCACTAACAGACACACAGGCAGAAGCAATAAATATGCCATTTAATGGTTGACTCTGAACAGGAGAATCTGTAAGGAATGGAAGGAAGAAGATTGCTATTCAACTGTCAACTACAAACCTAGCCCTTCATATGCTGAAAACCCAAATATTTAAGACTGATACATGTCCATAGTACCAAGTACCTCAAAACATCTGGTCAAAAAACAAAAACAAAAACAAGTACAAATCCCCAAACCAAACACAGCTGAATTCTCCTAGAGAGAATTCAGATGGGCAATACAAATATCCAAAGGCTTCCAAACCAGAATTGAAACCTGGCTATCCAATATATGAGAATTCCATGTTTTCAACACTATACCACCCCAACACAGGGCTTACTAGGCTATCTATCTGGAGATGGCTGGTAAAAAGCTGACAGATTTAGCATTGTGGTTCCTTGGTATATACCCAATAGAACTGAAAATGTGTCCACACAAGACTTTCTACATGAATGTGAATACCATTATTCATAATAAACAAAGTGGAAACAACCTAAATGTCTACCAATTAATGAACAGATAAAGACAATAGGGTATATCCATACAATAGAATATTATTTAACCCTATAAATGATTTAAGAACTGACTATTTAACATGGATGAACCTTGAAAACATTAGGCTAAGTAAAAGAAGCCAGTCATAAAAGACCATATGGTGTATTATTCCATTTATATGAAATATCCAGAGCAGGCAAATCTATAGACACAGAAAGCAGACTAGCAGATGCCTGGGGGTAGCGAAGGAAGTAGGAGAAACTGGAGAGCGACTTTTAATAGATACAGAGTTTCTTTTTGTTCCCAGAAATGTTCTGGAATTAGTTGTTCTGGTGATAGTTGCACAATTTTGTGAATATACTAAAAACTATTAAATTATATACTTGAAAGAGGTAGGTTTTATGGTATGTGTATTATGCCTCAATTACAACAAATATAACACAACAAAAAACGCTTTCAGAGCTGTAAGACTAAAGCAAAGACATCTGGTTTCATTCCTCACTTTCTGCCCTACTCTGGCCCAAATAAGCACCAGTTAAGCCTAGCCTTGCTACCCCAAGCCTTTGAGTGAATACTCTGCCTCCAGCTTTTTCTCCTCTAACCATGCACACCACTGTAAAACTCATCCTCCTTATCGCATCCCAATTCCTACCCAAAGCTCTGGCTCCCACTTACCATATTATAACAAAAAATTGGAGGACTCTAGAAGAGAACATCAAATTTCCCAACAAAGAAATGGCCAAAAAGCAATGTGACCACTCAGGAACGAATAAACTTTTAGGGATGTGAATGAAATCATCAAATGCCTACCTATCCTTTTTTTTTTTTTTTGGAGACAAAGTCTCGCTCTGTGGCCCAGGCTGGAGTGCAATGGTGCGATCTTAGTTTACTGCAACCTCTGCCTCCCGGATACAACCTCACACCTCAGCTCCCCCAGTAGCTGGGACTCTAGACGCATGCCCACGCCTGGCTAATTTTTGTATTTTTTGGTAGAGATGGGGATTCACCATGTTCACCATGCTAGTCTCAAACTCCTTACCTCAGGGGATCTACCTGCCTTGGTCTTCTAAACTCCTATACATTTTTCTTTCTTTCTTGGCTTTTTTTTTTTTTAAAGAGACAAAGTCTTGGCCAGGCTCGGTGGCTCACACCTGCCTAATTCCAACACTTTGGGAAGCCGAGGTAGGTGGATTGCCTGAGGTCAGGAGTTTGAGACTCGCCTGGCCAACACAGTGAACTCTGGCTCTACCAAAAATACAAAAAATTAGCTGGACGTGGTGGCGCATGTCTGCAGTCCCAGCTACTCAGGAGGCTGGGGCATGAAAATGGCTTGAACCCAGGAAGAAGAGGTTGCAGTGAGCCGAGATCGCGCCACCGTACTCTAGCCTGGCAACAGGGTAAAATTCCGCCTCAAAAATATACAAAAAAGGGGGGCGGAGGGGACTGGGTGCAGTGGCTCACGCCTGTAATCCCAGCACTTTGGGAGGCTAAACCAGGTGGATCACTTGAGGTCATGAGTTTGAGACCAGCCTGGCCAACATGGTGAAACCCTGTCTCTACTAAAAATATAAAAATTAGCTGGGCGTGGTGGCAGGCATCTGTAATCCCAGACACTCGGGAGGCTAAAGCAGGAGAGTCGCTTGAACCAAGGAGACGGAGGTTGCAGTGAGCTGAGATCACATCATCACACTCCAGCCTGGGAGAGAGTGAGACTTCATCTCAAAAACAAACAAAATAGAGACAGTCTCCCTTTCTCAGGCTGGAGTGTAGTAGCGGATCTTGGCTCACTGCAACCTCCATCTCTAAGCAATTCTCCTGCCTCGGCCTCCTGAGTAGCTGGGATTACATGTGTCTACCACCACACCCAACTAATTTTTATATTTTTAGTAAAGATTGGATTTCACCATGTTGACCAAAGTTCTATACTTTTTCAATTAGTCTTACACATTTAAACTATAAAATAGAATATGGTCTTAATTACTGCTGTACCTGATATTTACACTAGGAGTCATATATATACAGAGCAGGGGGAATTGATAGCTGTTGAATAACTGTATGTAGGCAGCAATCAATAAAAACTTCAACCGTGGGGCACGTATGCCTATAATCCCAACACTTTGGGAGGCTGAAGCGGGAAGACCGCTTAAGGCCGGGAGTTCCCAACCAGCCTGGAAGACACAATGAGTCCCCGTCTCTTAAAAAAAAAAAAAAAAATTAAACGTACATGTGTGTGTATACACACACACATACACACATATGTATGTATATGGTTAAACTACGAGGTGGCTGACAGAAGATAGATATAAAATCCAACAAGTACATTCACAGGAAGGTATAAAGAGGAATAAGTGCATCTACCTATTCACCAAGAGAAATAACAACTCTGTGGTTTTTTATTTATTTATTTTTTTTGAGACAAAGTCATGCTCGTTGCCCAGGCTAGAGTGCAGTGGTACAATCTTGGCTCACTGCAACCTCCACTTCCTGGGTTCAAGTGATTCTCCTGCCTCAGCCTCCTGTGTACCTGGGATTACAGGTGCCCATCACCACCCTGGCTTTTTGTAATTTTTTTTTTTTTTTTTTTTTTTTTGAGACGGAGTTCCACTCTTGTTACCCAGGCCTGGAGTGCAATGGCGCGATCTCGGCTCACCGCAACCTCCGCCTCCTGGGTTCAGGCAATTCTCCTGCCTCAGCTTCCTGAGTAGCTGGGATTACAGGCACGCACCACCATGCCCAGCTAATTTTTTTGTATTTTTAGTAGAGACGGGGTTTCACCATGTTGACCAGGATGGTCTCGATCTCTTGACCTCGTGATCCACCCGCCTCAGCCTCCCAAAGTGCTAGGATTACAGGCTTGAGCCACCGTGCCCAGCGGCTTTTTGTATTTTTAGTAGAGACAGGGTTTGGCCGTGTTGGCCAGGCTGGTCTTGAACTCCTGACCTCAGGTAATCCACCTGCCTCGGCCTCTCAAAGTGCTGGGATTACAGGCGTGAGCCATCACGCCCAGCCGAGATATAACAACTTTGAAAAAATATCATTTCAAATAGCTCCTAATGAGGAAAAAAAAAAAAAAGAAAAATAAGAAAACCCACATGTCCATCTAAGTGGAATTTGAAGAAATTCTTAAGACTGGAAAACTGCACAGCAATGAAAATGAACACATTGCAGTTACACACAAGATGAATTTCAAAAACAATACTAAGTATAAAAGGCCAAAGAATACATCCTGAGTGATTCTGATTACATAAGGCTCAAAAGAAAGTCAAAAGGCTCTATGGTATTAGAACTTAGTGACTACCTGCAGGAAGGGTGGAAAGGATAATGACCAGGCAAGAGGGGCGTCTATGTATGAAGTAATCCTCTGTTTTTTTGATTCGGGTGGTGGTTAACAAGGTATATCCGACTTGGGAGTAACTCACTAAGCAGTACGCTTATGACATGATATCTTTTCTATATATACGAATACTTCAATAAAAAGGAGGGAAAATAATTATTTAGAAGGACTGTTCCTTCCATTTGTACACTTCAAAAGTCTATTTTATACAAGCTCTTCATGTGCTGCATTTACATCATAAACAGAGCCATTTTAGATAACCTAGCAATTTTCTAAGCCACATCATTTTAAAATGTCACCAAAGTTGTTTAAGATATACTACTTTTTGAATCTGAGGAGAATGTAATTAGGAGGAAGTTTATCTTAAGCCACAAGTACCTTGTGGCATAAAATTAAAACAGACGATTCTTTCATTGCTCCTTAAGTGAATCTGAATACTTGTTTTATTAAAAGTATCACCTGAAAAAAAAGTATCACCTGACCGGGCATGATGGCTCACACCTGTAATCCCAGCCCTTTGGGAGGCAGAGGTGGGTGGATCACCTGAGGCCAGGAGTTCAAGACCAACCTGGCCAATATAGTAAAACTCTGTCTCTCCAAAAATTCAAAAATTAGCTGGGCATGATGGTGGGTGCCTGTAATCCCAGCTATTTGGGAGACTGAGGCACAAGAATCGCTTAAACCCAGGAGGTGGTGGTTGCAGTGAGCCAAGATTACACTCCAGACTGAGAGACAGATCAAAACTCCGTCTCCAAAAATAAAAATAAATAAATAAAATCACCAAACATCTTATTTGTGAGCGTATAATGCCAGAGTAATCACAGCAATTATGTTAAATTTACCTCCTTTTAAAACACAATATTCTACTAGTTGACCTGTGTAAGCACCCAATACTAGCATGGACTGAGGTCACTAGTTAATGCGTCTTTTTCAAATACTTTGTGGTTCAAAAGAAGTAACTGAGCAATCAGCCAGGCATGGTGGTGGGCGCCTGTAATCCTAGCTACTTGGGAGGCTGAGGCAGGAGAATCGCTTGAACCCAAGAGGTGGACGCTGTAGTCGGCCGAGATCACGCCATTGCACTCCAGGCTTGGGCAACAAGAGTGAAACTCAGTCTCAAATAAATAAACAAGGAGTAACTGAGAGAAAACTCCAGAGCAGCAAAGACTTTATACAAGCAAGAAGAAACTGAAAAAGAAGAAAGAAGAAGAAGAAGAAAGGAGGAGGAGGAAGGAGAAAGATCCTCTCTGAAGGATAAATTCCTGGTAAGCCTCATCTCATATTCAGTTAATATGCTTACTTTCAACTTTTCAAAAAAATCTTTTCTTTGAGACAGGATCTTGCTCTGTCACCCAGGCTGGAATGTAGTGGCATGCTTACAGCTCACTGCAGCTTCACCTCGGGGGCTCAAGCAATCCTCCAATCTCAGCTTCTCTAGTAGCTGGGAATACAGGTGTGCGCCACTGTACCTGGCTAATTTTTGTACCTTTTGTAGAGATGGGGTTTTGCTACATTGCCCAGATGGGTCTTGAACTCCTGGGCTCAAGTTGTCCACCCACCTTGGCCTCCCATCATACTGGGATTACAGGTGTGAGTCACTGTACCATCCCCCCCCAAAACCCCTTATATCCCACATGTATCTACCTAAGACTAGATAGGCTAAGATATCCTATTTTTCATTTTTGGCTGAATATATATATTAAGAACCAACAAGTCACAAAAGAAACATGAATAACTAATAATCATGTAAAAATATTCTGCCTACTAATAACCTAAGGTAGAAAAACGAAATCATTGGCTGAAGGCGGTGGCTAATGCCTGTAATCCCAGCACTCTGGGAGGTCTAGGAGGGTGGATCACCTGAGGTTGGGAGTTAGAGACCAGCCTGATCAACATGGAGAAATCCCATCACTACTAAAACTACAAAATTAGCTGGGCATGGTGGGGCATGCCTATAATCCCAGCTATTCGGGAGGCTGAGGCAGGAGAATTTCTTAAACCTGGGCGGCAATCTAATCAACATTTGTAGAATATTTCATCCAGCAACAGCAAACTACATATTCTCTTCAAGCTTACACGGCACATTCTGGGCCATAAAACATACCCTGTCCAGTTTAAAATAAATAGAAATCATAATGTATGCTCTTAGCCCATAATAGTCAGTAACAATAAGACACTTGTAAAAAACCCAAAATACAATGAGATTTAAAGACATAATTCTAAATAACACACAAGCTAAAGAGGAAATCTCAAGAGGAATAAAATATTCAGAACTACGGTGAGATGCTGTATAACAACATCTCAGTCAACAAAGGGGTACATATATGATAGTGGTCTCAAAAGATTGGAATGCTGTATTTTTACTGTACCATTTCTCTTATATCTTTAGATACACAAATACTACTATGTCAAAATTGCCTACCATCTACAATATGGTAATAAGCTGTACAGGTTTGCAGTCTAGGAGCAATAGTAGGCTATACCATTTAGATTTGTGTTAAGTACATTCTATGATATTTGCACAAAGACGAAATTGCCTAACAGTGCATTTCTCAGAATTAAGCAACACACAACTGTTAATGAAAATGAAAAACACAACTTAACAAAATTTGTGGGATGCAGAAAAAGCAGTGCTGAGAGGGAAATTTACAGCACTGAATACATATATTAAAAGACAAGAAAGGCCGGGTGCGGTGGCTCAAGCCTGTAATCCCAGCACTTTGGGAGGCCGAGGTGGGTGGATCACGAGGTCAAGAGATCGAGACCATCCTGGTCAACATGGTGAAACCCCATCTCTACTAAAAATACAAAACATTAGCTGGGCATGGTGGTGCGTGCCTGTAATCCCAGCTACTCAGGAGGCTGAGGCAGGAGAATTGCCTGAACCCAGGAGGTGGAGGTTGCGGTGAGCCGAGATTGCGCCATTGCACTCCAGCCTGGGTAACATGAGTGAAACTCCGTCTCAAAAAAAAAAAAAAAAAAAGACAAGAAAAACCTAAAAATCAATAATCTGAGCTTACACTTTAGGAAACCAGAAGAAGAGCAAATTATCAAAAGTAAGCAGAAGAAAATAATTAAAATTAGAGCTGAAATCAATGAAATTGAAAACAGTAAATCAACAGAGAAAAATCAGTGAAACCAAAAGTTGGTTCTTTGAAAAGATCAATGAAATTGATAAACATTTAACCAGCCTAAGGAAAAAAGAAAGATACAAATTACTAATATAAAAAATGAGGCTGGGCATAGTGGCTAACACCTGTAATCCAAAACATTTTGGGAGGCCAAGGTGAAAACTGCTTGAGCCCAGGAGTTCCAGAGTGGCCCGGGCAAAATAGAGAGACTTCATCTTTACAAATAATGTTTTTAAAAACTAGCCAGGTGTGGTGGTGTGTGCCTATAGTCCTAGCTACTTGGAAAGCTGAGATGGGAAGGTTGCTTGAGCCCAGGAGTTTGAAGTTACAGTGAGGCGTGATTGTGCAATTGCACCCTAGCCTAGGCAACAGAGTGAGACCCTGCATCTATATTAAAAAAAAAAAAAAAAATCAATTAACGTAATCCATCACATCAACATGCTGAAGAAAGAAAAAATAACACGAACATACCAATAGATGCAGAAAAATCATCTGACAAAAATCCAATCCCCTTTCATGATTTAAAAAACAAAATAGAAAAAAAACAACAACCTCTCAGCAAACTAGGAATAGAGGGGAGCCTCCTCAACTTGATAACCTTATAGCTAACATCACACGTGGTGAGAAACTAGATGCTTTCTTCCCCACTAACATCAGGAACAAGACAAGGATGCCTTCTCAAGAGCTCCTTTTTAGCTGGGTGTGGTAGCTTACACCTGTAATCCCAGCACTTTGAGAGGTTGAGGTAGGAGGATCACCTGAGCCTAAGAGTTGGAGACAAGTGTGGGTCACATAGTGAGACCCTATCTCTATAGAAAGAAAAAGAAGAAACGGAAAAAGAAGAGGGGGAGAGGAAGAGGGAGGGGGAGAGAGGAGAGACAGCTCCTTTTCAGCATTGTACTGGAAATCCTAGCTAATGCAATAAGCCAAGAAAAGGACATACAAGTTATATAGATTAGAAAGGAAGAAATAAAATTGCCCATGCACAAATGACACGACTGTCCAATAGGAATACCCAAAGAAGGCCAGGCATGGTGGCTCATGCCTATAATCCCAGCACTTTGGGAGGCCAAGGGGGGCGAACCACCTGAGGTTAGGAGTTCGAGACCAGTTTGGCCAGCAGGGCAAAACCCTGTCTCTACTAAAAATACAAAAATTAACTGGGTGTGGTGGTGCATGCCTGTAATCCCAGCTACGCAGGAGGCTGAGGCAGGAGAATCATTTGAACCTGGGAGGCAGAGGTTGCAGTGAGCTGAGATCTGTCACTCCAGCCTGGGTGACAGAGCGAGACCCTGTCTCAAAAAAAGAATGGCTACCATACAAATGCTGGCAAGGATATGGAGCAACAAAACTCATTCATTGCTGGTAGCAATGAAAAATGTAATTGCTACTTTGAAAAAACAGTTTGTTGATTTCTTAAAAAATTAAACATGGTCTGGGCTGGGTGCGGCGGCTTAAGCCTATAATCTCAGCTCTTCGGGAAGCTGATGTGGGCGAATTATGAGGTCAGGATTAAGACCATCCTGGTCAACATGGTGAAACCCTGTCTCTACCAAAAATACAAAAAATTAGCCGGGCATGGTGGTGTGCACCATGTGTGTCCCAGATACTTGGGAGGCTGAGGCAGGAGAATCGCTTTAACCCGGGAGGCAGAGGTTGCAGTGAGTCAAGATCACACCATTGCACTCCAGCCTGGGGACAGAGAGAGAGAGACTCCATCTCAAATAAATAAATAAACAAACAAACAAACATATTCCTATCAGATGACCCAGTAATCATGCCCCTTGTATTTACCCAAACCAGCAAGCCAGTTGAAAACTTATGTCCATACAAAAACATGCATATAGGTATTTATTGCAGCATTATTCATAACTGTCAAAACGTGGAAGCAACCAAACTATCATTTAGTAGGAGAATGAATAAACTATGATACATCCATACAATAGGATATTACTCAGTGCTAAAAAGAAATGAGCTACTAAGCCACAAAAAGACATAGAGAAATGAGACTACATAGAGGAATGTATTACTAAATGAAAGAAGCCAATCTGAAAAGGCTACATATTGTCCAATTCTAGCTATATCAAATTCTGCAAAAGGCAAAACTACACAGACAATAAAAAGATCAGTGGTTGCCAGGAGTTTGGATGAGGAAAGAACAAACAAGTGGAGAACGGAGGGTTTTTAGGGCAATGAAACTATTCTGCATGATACTATAATGGTGGATACATGACATACATTTGTGGAAACCCATAGAAGATACAATACCCAGAGTAAACCCTTAATAATGACATATCAATGTTGCTTCATTGATTGTAACATATGCACTATATGCACTATACTACAGGATGCTGATGGTTGGGGCGGCCGTGTATGTAGATGTTGGGAGAGGGGTGGCAGGGATAACTATACAGGAACTGTTCACAGCTCATGTAAGTCCAGAAACTATGAAACTACTAGAAGAAACTATAGTTGGAAAGCTCCACAACACTGGTCTAGGCAATGATTTCTTGTGCATGACCCCAAAAGTCCAGGCAACAAAAGCAAAAATAGACAAATGGAATTGCATCAAACTAAAAAGCTTCTGCAAAGCAAGGAAACAACAGAGTGAAGAAACAATTCACAGATTGGGAGAAAATACTTAACAAATCCTCCATCTGATAAAGGGCTAATATCCAAAATGTACAAAGAACTCAAACTACTCAATAATGAAAACAAATAACCCTATTTAAAAATGGGCAAAGGACCTGAACAGACATTTCTCTATGAAAGACATACATGCTGGTCTTATGGCTAAAAACAAGTTTTTTAAAAGAAAAAGAAAAATAGTCAAAAAATATATGAGAAAATGTTCAACATCACTAATTATCAGGGAATTACAAATTAAAACCATAAGGAACTACGCATAATGGTTCATGCTAGTAATCAGAGCACTTTGGGAAACTGAGGTGGGAGTATCACTCGAGCCTAGGAGTTTGAGCCTAGCCTGGACAACATAGTGAAACCTCGTCTCCACTAAAAATACAAAAATTAACTGGGTGTGGTGACACATGCCCGTAATCCTAGCTACTCAGGATGCTGAGGCATGAGATTCACTTGAACCTGGGAGGCAGGGAGGCAGAGATTGGGGTGAGCTGAGATCACACCACTGCACTCCAGCCTGGGCAACAGAGCGAGACTTTAAAAAAAAAAAAAAAAAGTTTTTCCCAGAAGGCACCGTTCTTCCTCTTTCCCTAAGTGGCCTGAGGTAATCTGTGAAAATGGTTCGCTATTCACTTGATCCGGAGAACCCCACAAAGTCATGCAAATCAAGTGGTTCCAATCTTCATGTTCACTTTAAGAACACACGTGAAACTGCCCAGGCCATCAAGGGTATGCATATACGAAAAGCCACGAAGTATCTGAAAGATGTCACTTTACAGAAACAGTGCGTACCATTCCGACGTTACAATGGTGGAGTTGGCAGGTGTGCCCAGGCCAAGCAGTGGGGCTGGACACAAGGCCGGTGGCCCAAAAAGAGTGCTGAATTTTTGCTGCACATGCTTAAAAATGCGGAGAGTAATGCTGAACTTAAGGGTTTGGATGTAGATTCTCTGGTCATTGAGCATATCCAAGTGAACAAAGCACCCAAGATGCGCCGCCGGACCTACAGAGCTCACGGTCGAATTAACCCGTACGTGAGTTCTCCCTGCCACATTGAGATGATCCTTACTGAAAAGGAACAGATTGTTCCTAAACCAGAAGAGGAGGTTGCCCAGAAGAAGAAGATATCCCAGAAGAAACTGAAGAAACAAAAACTTATGGCACAGGAGTAAATTCAGCCTTAAAATAAATGCAACAAAAAGGAAAAAAAAAAAAAGCTAGGCATGGTGGCACACCAGCTACTTGGGAGGCTGAGGTGGGAAGACTGCTTAAGTACAGGAAGTTAAGGCTGCAATGAGCTGGGATCTCACCACTGCACTTCAGCGTGGGTGATAAAACAAAACACTATCTCAAACAAACAAAACCATAATGAGGTGTCACCTCATACCTGTTAGCATGATTATTATTAAAAAGATAAATGGTAACGAGTGTTGGTGAGGATGTGGAACAAAGGGAACACTTTACACTGTGAGAATGTAAATTAGTACAGTTTTTGAAAACTGTATGGAGGTTCTTAAAAAAAACTAAACTAAAACTAGAATCACCATATGATCTAGCAATCCTACTTTTGGGTACAGTATATATCCAATGAAACTGAAATCATTATGTCTGAGAGATACCTGCGCTCCCATGTTCACTGCAGTACTATTCACAATAGCCACGATATCCATTCATTCATTAACGGTCAATGGATGAATGAATAATGAAAATCTGATATGTAAACACAACAAAATACTATCTGGCCTTTAAAAAGAAGGAAACTGTCATTTGTGACAATGTGGAAAAACATGAAGAAGGACACTTAGTTAAGCGAAATAAGCTAGGCACAGAAAGAAAAATACTGCATGATCTCACATGTGCAATCTAAAAAAGTCAAATACACAGACAGAAGTAGAGAGCAGAATGGTGGTTTATCAGAAGCTGTGGGTAGAGGAGGGGGGTGAAGGAGAAAGGGAGAATGGTAGTTAAAGAGTACAGTTTCAGTCAGACAGAAGGAAGAAGTTCTAGTGATCTACTGCACAGCATGGTGACTACAGTTAATAACAATGTATTGTATCTATTTAAAAATTGCTAAAAGAGATTTTAAATGTTCTTACTACAAATAAATAACTATAGGAGGTGATAGATATGTTAACTAGCCTGACTGAATCATTCTACAACGTACACATGTATCAAAACATGGGTGCTCCATAAACATATACAATTACCAATCAAAAATAAAATAAAAATTTTATAAACCAAAAACTATTGTTTTCTTTTTTGAGATGGAGTCTCACTCTGTTGGCCAGGCTGGAGTACAGAGGCAGGATCTCAGCTCACTGCAACCTCTGCCTCCGGGTTCAAGTGATTCTCCTGCCTCAGGCTCCTGAGTAGCTGGGACTGCAGGCATGTGCCACCACACCTGGCTAATTATTTTATTTTTTCATTCATTGATAAACACACATTACCTAGTGCAGGGCTTCAAATATAGGAGGTGCTCAGCACTTAACTGTGTTAACAAAAGTTAAAACGGGTTGCTTACTGATATTTCCAATGTGATTCCAAACAGCCCAATGAGTAGTACACAGCATTCTATATATACAGCAGTTTCCATCTACAGCAAATGATATAAAGATAAAATATATGCATCTTTTACTTTGAGTTCAGTCCCTTTAACTAGATCAGTGTGCAGGACCCATTAAAATGGCCCTGTGAAATAAAGCCTAATGAAAAGATGATCCAATAGATTCAAATGTTTGAATCAGTATAAAGAAGGCTGTGAAAATCAGCACCTGCATTTCATTCCAATTTTCCATGGAAAACTATCTGAAATATGAAGTACAATCTATTTTGAGAAATTTCAAGTTTTTGGTTTTTCTAGTAATTGCTACCAAATGTGTGCAATCTGACTACTCCCTCATTCTGCTGGATAAGATTACCTTAGTGGCAGTATATTTTAAGAATGTTTATGGCTGGCACGGTGGCTTACGCCTGTAATCCTAGCATTTTGGGAGGCTGAGGTGGGCAGATCACGAGGTTAGGAGATTGAGACCAACCTGGCTAACACGGCGAAACCCCGTCTCTACTAAAAATACAAAAAATTAGCCCGGCAGGGTGGCACATGCCTGTAGTTCCAGCTACTCGGGAAGCTGAGGCAGGAGAATCACCTGAACCCAGAAGGCGGAGGTTGCAGTGAGCCAAGATCACACCACTGCACTCCAGCCCAGGTGACAATGCAAGATTCCATTTCAAAAAAAAAAAAGGGGGAGGTGGCTGGGCAAGGTGGCTCATGCCTGGCACTTTGGGAGGCCGAGGTGGATCACCTGAGGTCAGGAGTTCGAGACCAGCCTTGCCAATATGGTGAAACTCCATCTCTACTAAAAATACAAAAATTAGCTGGGCATCGTGGCATGTGGCTATAGTCCCAGCTACACAGGAGGCTGAGGCAGGAGAATCACTTGAACCTGGGAGGCAGATGTTGCAGTGAGCCAAGATCCTGCCATAGTACTCCAGCCTGGGTAACAAGAACGAAGCTCCTTCTCAAAAAAAAAAAAAAAAAAAAAGCTTATTAACTCAAAGAACTTACTCTGGTCCACGTATCAAATAGGTATTATTCTACAGCTCCTATCCCAAGGACACATGCTAAGCTTATGACTGGTAGTCTGGAGTACCATGTCTGCAATCACTATGCAGCACTCCCACTATATTCCCAAACCACCTTGCCACTCCTCACTCTGCTGGGACCAGGGATAAGGCAAGGAAAGAGGTAACTGATTATAAGACAATTCATGTGCAGGGTGCGGTGGCTCACGCCTACAATCCCAGCACTTTGGGAGGCCAAGGAGGACAGGTCATGAGGTCAGGAGATTGAGACCATCCTGGCCAACATGGTAAAACCTTGTCACTACTAAAAATGCAAAAATTAGCTGGCTGTGGTGGCATGTGCCTGTAATCCCAGCTACTCAGGAGGCTGAGGCAGGAGAACTACTTGAACTAGGGAGTCAGAGGTTATGGTGAGCCAAGATCACACCACTGTACTCTAGCCTGGTGACAGAGTGAGACTCTGTCTCAAAAAAAAAAAAAAAAGACATTCCATGGCAAGCCAGGTCATCCTTTCTGACTAACCACAACTCTTGTCCCCTCACACAAGCGTTTCTCAACCTCAGCAATAGAGATTTTTGGGCCAGATAATTCTTTGTATAGAGAGCTGTCCTTTGCATTGTAGAATGTTTAGCAGCATCCCTGGCCTCTATTCACTAGATACCAGTAGCACCCTCTCCCAGTTGTGACAACCAAAAATGTCTCTAGACATCGCCAAATGTCCAATGGTTGGGGAGGAGAAGAGTGTGTCAAAATTCACTGCTTGCAATGCCTGTTTAAGAGCCACTGCGTGACGAAAAACATCAAGGCTAGTCAGGGTTAAGTTTGCTTCCCCTTTGCCATGGTTGCTGTTGTTCTCAGTCTAAAGCTGACTAGCACATAGTTCCTCTTTTCATATCAGGTATCCGAATGCCTGCTCTCTCATGGAAAAACATATTCACTGGTTGTGTATTGTCTTTTTTTGTTGAGATGGAGTCTAGCTCTGTCGCCAGGCTGGAGTGCAGTGGCATGATCTCGGCTCACTGCAACCTCCGCCTCCTGGGTTCAAGTGATTCTCCTGCCTCAGCATCCTGAGTGGCTGAGACTACAGCTGCACACCACCATGCCCAGCAAATTTTTGTATTTTTGGTAGAGACAGGGTTTCACCATGTTGGCCAGGATGGTCTCAATCTTCCAGACCTCGTGATCCGCCCGCCTCTACAAAAACCTCATAGTGCCCAGGAGTGTAAGCTTTATATGTGGTCCTACTTCTTGCCCTCCAACTCCAGCACCTGACAAAGCCCAGCAAGGAGACATTGACAAAGTAAGTCCCAATCACCTTACACATATATCGTCAACTCAACCCATTGGAAATTCACACACCTTCCAGCATATCCACTGAGCACCTCCATCCAACCTCAAAGGAAGGGTCTAGTGGGATGTCAAGTCAAATGATGTCCCTTTTTCAATGAGAAGGAATCATAACTATTTAAAAAATCTGTATTCGAATGTGCTAAAAAGAATCTGAGTGAAAAGAACACAGGAATTCTTTGTACTGTTATTGTAGCTTTTTTATAAGTCTGAAATCACTTTTGTAAAAAACTGAAATGGACTAGCCACGGTGGCTTATCCCAACACTTTGGGAAGCCAAGATAGGAGGATTGCTTGAGACTTGGAGTACAAGATCACCCTGGGCAATAGATTGAGACCCTGTCCCTAAAAAAGTAAAAATTTAAAAATTAAAAATGTAACTATATCCCCAAACAGGAATCTGCTTGAGGTAATGAAAATGTTCTAGGTCAGACATGATGGTTCACACCTGTAATCCCAGCACTTTGGGTGAGGCAGGGAGGATTGCTTGAGTTTAGAAGCTCAAGACCAACCTGGACAATATAGCAAGACCTTGTCTCTACAAAAAATAAAACAACTACCTGGTACATACTTACAGTTCCAATTACTGAGGAGGCTGAGGTGGGAGAAGTGCTTGAGCCCAGGAGGTGGAGGCTGCAGTAAGCCATAGTCATGCCACTACACTCACCTTGGGCAACAGAGCAAGGTCCTGTCTCCCAGAAAAAAAGAAAAATGTAAAACTAGATTATGATAATAGCCGTACAATTTGGTAAATTTACTTAAAAAATCATTGAATTGTACAGTTAAAATGGGTGACTTTTATTATATGTAAATTATGTCAATAACGTTTTCCCACTTAAAAAAAGAATTCCTGGGCCAGGTGCGGTGGCTTATGTGTGTAATCCCAGCATTCTGGGAGACCGAGGTGGGTGGATCACCCGAGGTCAGGAGTTCGAGACCTGCCTGACCAACATGGTGAAACCCCATCTCTACTAAAACTACAAAATTAGCTGGGTGTGGTGGTGGGTGCCTGTAATCCTAGCTATTCAGGAGGCTGAGGCAGGAAAATTGCTTGAACCCAGAAAGTGGAGGTTGCATTGAGCCAAGATCACGCCATCACACTCCAGCCTGGGCAACAAGAATGAAACTCATTCTCATTGTGCTGGAACTCTAAAAAAAAAAAAATTTTTTTTTTTTGAGACAGAGTCTTGCTCTGTCACCCAGGCTGGAGTGCAGTGGCGCGATCTTAGCTCACTGCAACTTCTGTACCCTCCACCACGAGTTCAAGCGATTCTCCGTCTCAACCTCCCAAGGAACTGGGACTACAGGAATGTACTACTATGCCTGGCTAATTTTTATATTTTTGGTAGAGATGGGGTTTTGCCATGTTGGCCAAGCTGGTCTAGAACTCCTGATCTCAGGTGATCTGCCCTCCTTAGCCTCCCAAAGTGCTGGGACTACAGGTGTGAGCTACCCTGCCTGGCCTAAAAAAAAAAAAAAAAAACCCACGCATTCATACTATATTTAAAGACTTTTTTAAAAATTGAGATAAAAATTCATATACCATAAAATCCACTGTTTTAAAGTATATACAATTCAATGGCTTTTAGTACATTCATAAGATTGGTCAACCATCATCACTATTTAATTCTAGAATATTTTCCTCATCCCAAAAAAGAGACCCTGTATCAATCAGTCATCACTCTCTATCCTCTCCTGCCACCCCCAACTCCCCCGCCACCCTTGAGCCTGGTAACCACTAATATACATTCTCTGATACACCACCTTTTCTCCTACATGTTTTCCTTTGGAAATAGAATTTACACAGATTAAGCACAAATTTCACTTGGCCACAGATTGTGGTAATATATACATCATTAGTATATGACATTAGCATCACCAATCTCACCAAGTGAGATTAAAACTAATTATCCTGGCTGGGCACCGTGGCTCACACCTGTGATCCCAGCACTTTGGAAAGCCAAGGCAGGTGGATCACCTAAGATCAGGAGTTTGAGGCCAGCCTGGCCAGCACAGTGAAACTCTGTCTCTACCAAAAGTACAAAACTTAGCCAGGCGTGGTGGTGTGTGCCTGTAATCCCAGCTACTTTGGAGGCTGAGGCAGGAGAATTGCTTAAACCTGGGAAGTGGAGATTGCAGTGAGCCAAGATGGCGCCATTGTACCCCAGCCTGGGCAACAAAAGCAAAACTCTATCTTAAAATAATAATAATTATTATTATTCTAGGCTGGGTACAGTGGCTCACACATGGGAGTCTGAGGCGGCAGGACTGCTTGAGTCCAGAAGCTCAATGCCAGCCTAGGCAACATAGTGAGATCTCATCTCTACCTGCCCCTTAGCCTCTCAAAATTAACCAGGTGTGGTGGTGCACACCTGTAGTCCCAGCTATTCAGAAGGCTGAGGTGGGGAGAATGGCTTGAGCTCAGGAGGTTGAGGTTATAATGAGCCATGAACACACCACTGCACTCCAGCTTGGGTGACAGAGCAAGACCCTGTCCCAGTAAAATAAAATAAAATATAAAATAAATGTTATTTTGGCAAGGCACGGTGGCTCATGCTTATAATCCTAGCACTTTGGGAGGCTGAGGTGGGTAGATCACCTGAGGTCAGGAGTTCGAGACCAGCTTGGCCAACATGGCAAAATCTCATCTCCACCTAAAAATAC